TTTGAATTCAGCCTAAAAAGCCACGTATTTTGGAAAAAAAATAGTGTTCGGTAAAGTATATTTATACCCACCAATTCTGTGAATTCATAGTTTGTAACATATTCTGTATTTAATTTAATCACCTATTTATTTATTTCATGAAGTAAACTTAACCAAAACCTCTGGACAGTCGGATCATTGATCTTAATTTGTAATTATAAAAAAGGTGGGCAAGTGGGTGTCGCTCTGCTGTACAGTAGGTTACAAGTGGGTCACTGTATAATGGATGGTATTACATTTGAATTCAATGATATTATATCATTGTATAAGAAAAACGATTCTGAGCGGAGACGGTATGTCCTAGGTATAAGACATATTATATACTTATCTATGGTATTAAAAAAAATTGACCTATTATAGGTACCTATAATGAATTCTAAATTAATCATATTACAATATCCATTAGGTACTTATAACGCGGTATACACCAACAACAAACAATGATACTATCATAGATATATAGTAGTATACTTTAGAAATTTCAAGTACCCACGAATAATATTATACAATCACAACAAAATAACTAAAATAGTTATTCTAGGTTTTTTATCATGTAATTTCGTCCAAATTTGAATTTAAAATGTCTGTAAAAAATAACTGTGTTCATATATTTTTTAGATTTTTTGGTTACAGTATGAACTATTTATGAAAACCTTTGTTTTAAATTTGCAATCCTTAGCTATAAAAACTGAACATTTTATAATTTATTAATTACAATAATTGATAATTTTCGAGATTTTGATAAATTTTGTCAAAATTCGATCTTTAAATGTTTATAAAAAAAAATTGTGCCTATGTATTTTTAATATTTTTCAACTGATATTGTAACAATATATCAGGAGCCTTGCATTAAATTTTTACACTTTTTGGCCCAACCGATATAATTTTATTGATATATATAGAAAAAAAAACTAAAATGATTGAAAACTCAAAATGTCCGTAAACAGCTCAAAAAAAGTCAAAATATTTTCAAAATTGTATGGTGTATAGGAAATGCTAATATAAACATTCAGTAAAATTTTCATGTATCTACAGTTATTCGTTTTTGAATTACAACAAAATAAGGAAATCGCTACATGAGAAATCGAGTGAATATCCAATGTTGTAAAAATTTGAATTTAAAACGCTCATAAAAATTTAATTTGACTACTTAAAGAAATTTTTTTTTTGATAAAGGTAGACAAATTTATGAGGAATCTTGTATTACATTTTAAAATCTTAGATTTAAAAAGAAAAATTTTTAAGAAATTTTTAACTCAAAATAATTTACTAATTTTCGTGATTTTTCCATATTTTGTCAATTTGTGAACTTTAAATGCTTAGAAAAAAAAACTATGACTAAGGACTTTTAATATAATCTGCCTTTGAAGCAATATACTAGGATCCTTCAATTAAATTTTCAAGCTTTTTTAGCCAACAAATAAAATTTTATTGATATCTTTAGAAAAAAAACTAAAAAAAAATGGAAAATGAAAATGTCCCTAAACAGTTCAAAATAAATCAAAATATTTTGAAAATGTTATAGTGTATAGAAAATGCAAATATAAACAACCAGTAAAAATTTCAAGTGTGAAATGTCGTTTTTCCTTAATTTTTCTTTTATTTTTCTTGGCGCTTTTGAAAATTACTGGGAATTTCAAATTTTAACCTCCTCAATGCACTAACTAGATTTACTTTCCTATCAGAAAAGATACTGAAGTTGAAAATCGAAGCATTATTTCGACTACTAATCGTGTACACTGCAGACACAAAAAAAAAAAATTAAAAAAATTAAAAAAAAAAACACACATCATTGTAAAATCAATACATTCATCGTTCCACTTAGAATCTAAAAAACTAAAAAGTTCAAAATAAATCAAAATATTTTAAAAATTTTGTCGTGTATAGAAAATGCTAATACCTATTAACATTCAGTCAAAATTGCATCTATCTACGGTCATTTTTTTTAAAATTACACCAGAAACCAAAATGTTTTAAAAAATTGCTTTTGCTTAAAAATTCCAGTTTTCATGTTGTTTTTCCCTTCGATTTTGAAAACTATAGGAAATTTTAAATTTTGACCTTCCCAATGCACCAACAATATTCACTTTCCCATCAAATTATAATATAGTATTATGCATATATGTTGGCTGTAGGCTGAAAAAAAGCCCACGGATATAAAAGTCCATGCGATTGCCATACAACTGTATTATTTTATACTTCTAAAATATTTCGTTGATTAAAACTCAAAAAAGCATAATACAATAATAGTATCTACAATCTACATAATATAGATAACAGATCCTAATAATTGTAAATAATAATAATAACTAATGGTCTAGTAGTCGATGTTATCAAGATCATTGAGTATATACCTACTATATATTGTAAATATACAATATAATATACTCAATCCTAAGATCAATAAAAAAAAAAATAATAATAATAAATATAATCATGACACGCCAGTCACTCGTTACTCAATGTTCGACTGTAACATAAATAGAGCAACGAAAAAGAAATAAATAAGTTCACAAATAAAATGTAAAGCTCATATAATTTCAATTTGGAAGTCAATCAAATGGAGAATTATATTTGTAATATTATGTTATATTTGGTTTGATTAGAAAGATGTACAGGTTAGTTGTCAATTGTCATGATATATTTTTACTTGTGATTATATTTTTCAAACTTATATAATATATAATATATTTACCTATACCAATATATATATATGTATATATATATATTTATATTTAAATTTTTTTCGGTGGATTTTTTATCCGTTTGCAGGGGAGTACACAGGATTTTTTAATTTTGGAAAGAGTGGAGGCTTGAAAATTAGTAATTTTTATTTTGTCCAGTCTAATGATTTCAGACGTTTATTTGAGGTATTTTAAAAGGTTTGTAACTTTTCAATTTTCTTTTAGAAAAAATGCTCTGATCATAAGCTTCGATGTCCGATGTATGTTTTTGGAAGCAAATTGGAACTAGTTGGTACTTTTAAGAAGTCGAAATCGAAAATGCCCAGTTATTTTTAAAATAATTGGAGAAAAAAAATGAATATTTATTAAAATTGTTTTTTAACCAGCTTGGTTATACCGTCCTCACTTAGATTGTATTTGATTAATTAAAATTTTTTTTCCTATAAATGTCAATAAATATTATTTATCCAGTCAAAAAGCTTAAAAATGTAATAAGTAAGTTTTTATTATAGCTAAAATATTAACGATACATAGGCATCTTGGTTATTTTTTATAAGCATTTTAAGTTCGAATTTTGTCAAAACCACAGTTAATTTGTAGTTCAAAACTTATAAAATATTAAATGTGTATTGTAAGGCTATACAATTTAATACAAGGTCTTTTATACAAGTACCTAGTTCATACTTTTGCAAAAATTACAAATAATTTATGAAAATTGGTATGCAAATACAATGTTTTTTCAAAAATGAATTCATTCTGGTAAGACGTACATGAAAACGGGCAATAGAGGGGGGCTTCAGCCCGTTAGCCCCCCTACAGAATCCACTGTCCGTGGGCTTTTTTTCCCGCAATTCGTTTTTGCAATAATTAAATTAATTAATATAATATCATATTACGATATTAAATATGTCCATATAATATATTATATAGTAATATTGGCTGAGGGGCTGTATGTTGTATTCATATACAATGATATTATAACATTGAATTTTGAACACAACCAATAAACCATGACATTGACAATTTCGACACCTCCTGTACAACAATACAGCAGAGCGTATAACCACTTGCCCACCTTTTTTTTGTCTATAAATACTCAAATACTGATGACTGATGAGGATCAGTCATCGATCATTACTTAACACCATAACTTCAAACTTATCTGTACAAACTACAAGTTACTAATTAGTACAACATAATATCAATATTAGTGTGACTGTGTGAGTAATGTAAGAGAAGTCGGTATTAACTTTTAACTTAATTCAGTTAGTATGTTCCTAAACAAGTAACTTACCTTAGTTACTCAAATTCGTTTACCTATATTTTTTATTGGGATTTTTTTTTATGAACTTAAATTCTTAAATAAGTTTATAAAAATGGTCAACTTACCCAAGCACTAGTTTATAAATGTCATAGATGGAAAGTACATAATATATTTTTTTTAGATGATCTGGGGAAGATTTGAGCATTGACGCATTGTTATTTTACTTTTCTCGGTCGTAAACTCGTAACTCGTAAGCGTAACAATGTACATTATTATTAGGTACTACACGTATAATATGCGTTGCCTGTGCAGGTTTGGTCACCCCTGGTCTAGAGTCTAGACAGACCGCACGTGTGAAGTACCTATCCCACATGGCCGTATGGGTGATCCCCGACCCGCAGGTGGTAGACGGCAGACGGCAGGCGGCAAACCGCAGACACCAGCTCGCACCTATAAATTATGATATATTTTACGGGATCGATTGTAGGAAAAAAGCGCGATTGCAGTTGTTCGTAAAAGCGTATATATTTTTCCACAATCGCCAACGGACAAAATTCGGCTCAATAGCGATCGTTGTAATTCGTGACATTTGATATTACTGTATATCTATAGAATTTACATTATGCGCATTAATTTTGCGCGCCGGCGCCGACAAACGTAACCGGAAGGATTAACCGTTGCGAACGCGGGTCGCGGGATAACGGACGGTTCTGCGTGATGCTAGCGATAACGGACAGTCACCTTGATAAGCATTTACCATTGTACGATATTTTCTAATTTATTACACTACATTATCAATTGTTTATTATTATTAACGTGCTTATAATTTTATTAATTCACTTTATGACGCCTGTCATTAGTTATTGTTATTAGTTACTACTACTACTACTACTACTACTCAAATTAATAATTACTACTTCTAGAGAGCCTTGTCTAACTACTACTATTAACATTTTCATTACGTACCTACCTACCAATTGCCAGTTTATATTGGATCTGAAGGATTATTCGCAATGAATTCAACGTCAGACCTATTTACCAAAAACCTAAAACCGTTACCAATTCGCAATCCATTTGGTAGAGTGAAAAAAAAGGGTCTGGACATTGACAGTGTAATAAATGAAATTAAATTCGATCAAAAGTTAATAAGTGTGTTTAACACTTACAACAAGTACATCAATTTTCGGTTTGACTATGTCATCAGAACAAGTATCACTCAGTTACCTGATGAACTCAATCATAACGTTGACTGTGAGTATTATACAAAATTTTTATTTGGTTGAATTACTTACTTCGGTAAAATAAAAACCATTATGAATTTAAAAAAAACATTTGAAGTAGGTATATACTATCTACATTAATAATAATATTCATAATTTACTATATTTTCTAACACCTTAAGACACATAATTAATACCTTTTCATTCAATGCTAAATTAATATATCCTAATATATAATATATCATAATATAATACATTTCAATATTTTTTACATGTTTACTATAGTTTATGAAAATTATTTGAATAGAACAGTAATATAGGTAATAATTAAAATAATTGAATAATAATTAAGTAATAGTATATAATATTATAACCTACGGTACATGTTGAAATTATTAAGTATTAGCAATTATGTACCTATTATTTTGTTCATTGTAAATTGTAAGTTTAATTTGAATATCATCTGTATAACCTAACCTATTTATTTTTCTGTCTTATGAACAATCACTAAACATTTAACTTATCGAATGATTGAGTGAGCTCATTATCCCTTAATCATGATTTAGTGGCCAATGATTGGTCCATTACATTTTATTAAACCATTAAATCAATTATTAATTATACATGTACAGAAATAGATTGAGATTTCAGACCCGCCTGGTAAAATTAGTACTTAGCTGCCCGTAGGTCAAACACTATAGACAAAAAAAATATTACAACTATAAGCATAATATTATAGGCCACAATTTTAATACATTTTACTGATTAAATTATTCAATAATTGTATTAAAATATTCAAATATAAGTCCTCTTTACCCTCGTCTCTACCCAAACTACTATTATAATAGGTACAGAAATCAGTTACAACGAGTTTCAAGAGCTACCAGATATTAATTCTCCTTTACTTGATATACCGTTAGAACGAGCGTTTGTTGTAATTGGTCAGCCATCACTCACCGGCTCGGAGCGAGCTAATCAGAACCAATTCAATATTAATTGCTAATGACTCTTTGAGATTTCTCCAAAACCTATATTTTGCCTTAAAATTAAAGATAAAATGTATTTATCACCAAATATAACGAGCAGGTTGACCTAAAAATGTATATAATAGGAAAAAGATGATGACCAGCTTGTTATAACCAAACATTTGATCTATAATTCGATGTACTTTACTCATTGTAGCCAATAACTCGTTATAACCATAATCCTTGTAAACTTATATTTTAACATACAATCATATAGGCTCGTGCCGGGACCTAGCGTTCTACTCGCCATTATAATATCTACTGTATTTAATATTAAAAATTTAAAAAATGCATTACCTAACTTACTTTTTTTCAAATAAATTTAAATACTAGTCCTAAATGTAAAATAAATTAATAATATTATTATATTAGTGTTTCACCTAATTGAGATCACTGTTTTCTTGTACATGATAATAATTATTATATAACATGTACAATAATAACAAACCAGACCGATTATGGTCGGGCTGTGGCTTGTTTTCTCTCAGGACAGAGTCTAGTTATTACTTATTACTCAGTTTCTGTAATACTAAAATAAAATATTTATATTTAATGCGGCTCATCAGAAATTTCTTGATGGCCCTATCGGCCTATGCACATGTATAATATACATAGAATAAAAAATAGAAAAAAATAATTATAAATGTTTAAGTTATGACGTATATTTATGTCTCATTTTTAGCAATGATGCATAAATACTTCTTAAATAAGACCTGTATATGGTAATTACATTGATTTATAAGATACAATTGAGGATATACCCTGTAAAATTAAGAAAAACATTATTGGTAAAAACATTATTATAATAAAGTCGATTCTTGGTAATCAAACTTTGGTAACTCAAAATTTTCGACGTCTCAAACAAATAAGATTCTCCTTCAAATAACAATAACACATTAAGATTTTAATAACTCAATTTCAATTTTGTAAGTCAATTTTTTTTTTTGCCCCGTGAATTTTGAGTTACCAAGAGTACACTGTAAATAACAATGCTAACTATGTTAACATTTTTAAAACGTGTTTAAACGTCATTGGTTTTCAAAAGGTTAATTATTATTTGTTAGGTAAATTTTAATTAATTTAATATACTTTGTAGATTCTGAATTTGATCCAAGTCAACATATTATACTAGATTGTATAAGTAGTAAGAATAGTTTAGATAATGTTACTAAACTCCGAGAAGAATTGAAAACTTTAACGACAGAAGTAAATTTAAAAAGAAAAGATTTGAGTTTAATTTCCATGACTGAGGATGGATTAAAAACAAATATTAAACATTTAGAAGACATTATATCAATGAAGGTAATTATGCCATCATTTGTATCATAATATAAACTTTGAATTTTTATAATATATTCTTTAAATCTTTGAAATTTAAATTATTTTAGAAAAATGCCATCAGTAACAATGTCAGCAATGCAGAAATCAGATGTAATGCAAAAGAAAAATTTCAAAAAGATTGCAATAGAATAAACAAGGAATATAAAAAAATTTTAAGTCAGTTGAACAAGTCACATAAAATGACAAAAACTAATTATGGTAATGGAACTAGTAAAGATAAGGATTACGGGGAGCAAACCAATAATATGTTATTACAATATAAAGATAAAATAAAAAAAATGGATGATGCTATAAAAATTGCCAGTGACAATAGAGAGAAGTATTTACATATAAATTGTAAAATTGTCTCAATACTAATGAATATTGTATTTTAGATTGCTACAAGATCAAAAAGCCTTACAAACTTCTAATGATCGGTTAAAAACATTTTATGACCAATTAAATAACCAAATAAAAAATAAACAAGAAGTTTTATTATTATTAAAACAAAATGAAAAGCGAATTAATCATTTAAAAACTAATTTATCTAATTTGGAGGTAAGTAAAATTACTTGAATTTGTTGTTAATGTAATTAATAAAAAAAATTTTCAGGTTTTATCAAGCGTAGAAAAAAGTAGAGTACATACATCATCAAATTTAATTGAAAATAATAATCTGAAAAAAGAATTTTTGGATTTGCAAAATATGAGAAATGAAATTTTAAGTTCACGTCCTATAGGAATGTTCAATCCCAAATATCAAAAGGTTTTTATTAAATAAAATTTTAAGTTTATTCATTTTATAAACATTATAAATAGTTTCTTCATAACTACATTAAAAAATAATCTTGATGTTAATTAATATTCAAGTATTATAAATGATTGGTTTTTTAAAACAATTTTAAGTTAAATCTTTATATTTTATTCTTGTATACTTTTTTTACATAAACGCCAGTTTATAAGCTTAAGAGGACGTCACATTGTGGGGTGTGTCTCCATCTTACAAATATACAACATACCAAAAACTATTTTGAGGGGACAACTTTACTCCCTTTCTATTTATAGTAGAATTACCAAAGTTCCACAACGCACAGGGAAGAACTTTATCCGTATCGTAGTGTTTTTATTATTTGAATAACATAAGTAGGGGGATTCCGTTACAGTTGAACCACTTCTTAGAAAACTAATTTTAATTTCTTTTGTAATCAATATAGAGAAATAGTTTTTATGTCTACAGAAAGTATAACTTCATAGTAACCTATAATGAATTCCAGATTGTTCTATATATATAATTATGATTGCTATGTCCATCTTTCTTAAAGTTGAAAAGTGGATAAAATCTCCCGGTTGTGCGGGTGACTTGAACCAAGGGACCGGGAGATATGAACATATCAAAGAATGTCATGAACTTAACTAATAAAAATTAAATTTTGAATAATATATTTGTTAAAGCACAGAAAATTTAGTTCTAGGAACATTTTGTTATTCATGTAACATTTTTATAAACACTTTTTATGATGTTTAAAACGTATTGTAACATATTTTTTACAATTAATACTTTTTCAAAAATAGTTAAATACAACAAATTAATATTTTTTTTTCTTAATACAATCACATATTTCAGACTTTTAGTTTTGTACTTATTAAAATATTTGTATAGATAGATAAGAATAACAAAAGTAAATTTTTAGATTTATTAATAACAATTATGTTCAAAACTTATTGTAAGATATTTTTTTACAATGATACCAACTTTTTAAAAAATAGTTAAAAACAAAAAATTAAAATTTTTATTTTTCTTAATACAATCACATCTTTCAGACTTTTAATTTCATACTTATAACAATATTTTTATAAATGGATAATAATAACAAAAGCAAAAGCATACACAGTGATATCCAGTGGCTGTAGCTTATTGCTGCAATGGGATGGGAGAGTAAGTAGGGTAATTCCATTCTCTTTGGCAAGTTGAATTACATCTGCACTGACATGGCTCTCGTGATTGTAAAGAATTAAAAGAACTCGATTTCCTTTTGATGTATGAGAACATTTTATGAAGTGTATCATAAATTTCACAAAACTTTTCCTTGTCATCCACCCACCTGGATACAAGTCACCATCTGATCCTAATGGCCCATTTTCGACAAAAAAACTATTATACTTGACACGTGGGAAGATGGAAAATAGCGGTAAAGCATTCACAGCAAAATAAACCGTAACAACTTTTTTGACCAACAAAATTCACACTATTTACCAGCAACTACTTTGGGGAACATCTGCACCGTAGTACATCCAGTTTCATCACAGTTGTAAATATTCTGTGGTTCAAAATTATAATTTTCGCTTACCTCTCTTAAATTATGAAAAAAATCTTTTACATTCTTTCTATTAAAACTTGTGGCCCTAGAAAGACTTATTGCTTCGTGTGTTCTTAAGCTTAGTTGTGTATTTCTTTTAAGAAATCCACAAAACCAAACCTTGACAGTAGCATTATTTTTGATCCAACTTTCTGGTACATTGTTGTGATTTGCTATTGCATAGTCACTCGCTAACTTCATAGCAGATACTTTGGATAAACCATAATGCATTTTGCTGCATTCTAGCAAATAATCAACCAATACCTTCTCTTCTTCAAGTGTAAATACCTGAGTAGCCTTGTACTGACTCCCAGCTACATCAAATTTAATTAATTTATCTTAATCTTGTACATACCTGCTCAGTGTAATCTATCAATATTATACTTCATAGCAGACTTCCTCAATGACATTACCTTTTCAACATCTCGTATAGCATTTTCCATTTGTCGTTTGGTAAAAGGATTTCTTTTTTTAGCACTTTGGTTTTAGGCCTTTGGTTTTGTATTTGAAAGACATTTTTTGTCTGAATACAAATGGATATAAAATTAATGGTAAATTTATACTAGTACTATTATTATAACATTAATTAGAATTGGTAAAATAGAACTAGATCATTTTATTTTATTATAGCTACTCTTGATTCTTAATTTTTATAATTAATTTAATTTAAAAATTAAGATTAAAAAAGTGTCTTCATTTTCACCATTTCGGGAGAGTTGAACCATGGTTCAAGTCTCCCGTCAGTTTGTGGTTCAAATTTCCCACCCACTACCTTTATCAGTTTGATAAATAATGAAAACACTATTGACAAAACTAATTAATATTGAATAAAACTACACAAAATTGCTAACCTTTTCATAAATATAGTATATACGTTCCTTAAAATATTAACAAATGCTAAACAAACAACAATAACAACTTTTTTTAGTCTGACAACGTCAAAACACATTTTTGTTGATAACAATCAAACAAATTTTCGAAATGCAGTGTTGCCACATGGGTGAGTGTATGGCATAGTAATGCACTTTATGATTCAGCTGTTGTCTCACTAGCGCGAAATTTAATAAAGTCATGAGCGATGGTTCAAGTCTTCTCCCTGTTCAACTGTTCCGGACTCCCCTACATTTAAAGTTATCTATATGAAAACATTAGGTTTTTTTATTTTTTTATTTAGTTATTAAAAACTATTGGTTAGACTAAAAAACTATAAAAAAAATAAAAACGCAACGACATAGATATAGTTCTTCTCGATGCATTGTTGAATATTGGTAATTCTATTATAAATACAGAAGGAGTAAAGTTGTCCCTCACAAAACAGTTTTAGGTATGTTGTACGTTTGTAAGACAGAGATAACACATGCGGGTGTGACATCCTCTTAAATGATTGTAATTCTGATTATACTTTTGTTTTCAAGGAAAATAAATTATTTAAAGAAGATATTCGAAAATATTTAGAAAATGATGAAGCAATTGATTCCATAGACTATTTAATTGAATTAAAAAATAATATGTGCAATAATGATACAAATTTATTACATTTTATTCATACGGTAAGAAATAATGCGTTTGATATTGTATTTAGGTATTTAAAAAAAAAACTATATATTATGCATGGAATTATTACAGAATTCAAATGAAACAAAAATTTTTTGGAAGTGTCTATCAACTTTAAATATAGATGAACTAAAAAAATTGTTGGTACATTATTTTATCAAAGTTGTTGATTTAAAAGAATCAGGACGAGAAAATGATGAAATAATATCTAAGCTTGATGTGAGTATATTATATATCAACAAATGCATATTTTTTTTCTTATGAAATGTAGCAAGTTTTTCTTTATAATAACTATAAATTTAATAACATACAGGCAATAAATGATAGACAAAGGCATAATATTGTGTCTTCAACTAATTATCATCAAGAATCTCATTTGTCAATCGAAAAAAAATTCATGGTATTAAAAAAAGATTATCAAGGAAAAGTTAATATGTTATTACAGCTAGTTCAAGAAGATAATAATGCTATTACTATGTTTAAAGCGAGACAAGAAATCTTAGGACTTAAAAAGCAAATAATTGAATTGGAGAAGAAGTTACAATCAGGTTCATATTATATCTACATAACCATGTACATTTATTAATTAATTAAATTATTATAGTAAAACATAAGGACACTTCAGTGATGCCAGAACCCCATATCTGTTCAAATCTTCTTGAGACTTCGAAATCAGAATCTGAAACTATATCATCTGCCAAAGTAATATACCATAAAAACAAATTGAAGATACAAAAAAATAAATCCAAATTGATTTAACTACAATGTTTAAATGAAAATAATATATTTGTATTACAACTATTACATATAGGTAAACTTGAGCTTCAGCTTGTATCTCAATTTCAATTCCTTTTTTGTCAGGTCCTAAAATATGGATTGTAATTATGAGGACTATGAATAATTATTGTATTTTAATTTTATTACTGCCTCAAAAAATTGTTAAATATATTATACAGGATGCCCAATGGTTTTAAACTGTCTTTAAGCGTGACTTAAGAAATAAATATTTATTAATCCAAATTTCTGAAATGTTAGTGATTATTGATCAGTGACCTATTATTGAGTAATTGAAATTGCAGTCTTACTTCCTTTAAAGGAAAAATAGATTCAAATGGATTTCAGCATGTGCAAGTATTTCAGTTATTCAGCTTTAGAAATTCAAGAAAACATTTTCCACTCTAGTGTATCTTAGGAATAATAATAATAATAAAAAAGTTTGTTATTGTCTATCTATCTTTTTGACAGGTATTTTTCTGTTAAATAACTATTATTCGATTTTCATTTGTTTACACTGCTAAAAACCTAATTTTAATGAGTATTTGAAATTATATATTGTTTTTAGTTCTAATAATGCTTAAAAATTCATAAATCAAATCAAAAGAGTGGGTCGAAGTTTTTTAAACTGTACAGAAACCCCTTGATTTTAACTATAATTGTATGTATTAAACAAAAAAGTCTTGTACCTTCATCCAGTCCATAATATCCTAATCAGTGGTGTATTGGGGGGTATACAGAGTATACTCACTTCTCTCTTTTTTGTTTAGCTTATACTCTAAATAAACGACGATACGCAGGTATACCTATTAGAATTTTCGATAATAAAAATAAAATGTATTATAATTATTTGTAATTTTCATTTCTCAGTTAGTATTAAATTGTACTATATAGTACATAATATTATTAGCTGATTATCAAAAAATATTTTGAGAACCAATTACCAGCATCAGATATATTAGTAGATATTATGACTATTTTTAACTCTTTCTGCTTGTAAATTTATAATATTATGACTATTTTTAACTCTCTGCTTGTAAATTTATAATATTACTAGTCGACCCGTCACAGCTTCGCCCATGATTGGTTGTTTATTTTGCCTTCGGACGATGAATGATGATATGTATAATTTTTTATTAAAATTTTATCGTTTAATGAAAACGTATACAAATGTTTCTAGCGGTATTAATGGTAAATATATTTTTATATCAGAACCCGTTCACTTCATTATCCGTAAAAAATTGCAAATCTTAAAAATGTATGATTGTTCAACTACTTTTGGGTGTAACTTGCTGCAGCCTGCAGTAAGTGCAACTCAGCCACCCTGGTAGGCAATCCGACTACTTGGGCAACTTTTTCACCAATCACCTTGGTAAGCAATGTTCAATAATTCGATTGATGCAAGCTTGTACCTGATCTTCGGAACTATTAATAATTAAAAATAAAATTTTCAATGTGAACCTCAATGTCTCTGAGCACCTCTTTGAAATGCGAATTTTACCAAATCCTTTCTTATTGCATGGTGAAAGTATTAGAAGAACCACTATTCTAAATTTCAAGTTCGTACATTGATTAGTTTTTGAGATACGGCGATCAGTGAGTCAGTGGTATTTGGATTTTAGGTATATAATATATAGATTCTCTTCTCCTTCCCCTCCGATAAAAAAAAATAAAAATTAGGCTACACGGCGACACTCAGGAAGGTATTTGGAACAACTCTGTGAATAAAAATTGGTAAAATATTAAATAGTGTAGTCACAAAATTGGAACATAAAAAATAATAACTCAAATCAACAAACATGCCCGATATAAATAAATAAATAAATAAATATATATAAATAATATAGCAACCAATATATTATAATACACTATTATTATTTTAATCTGCAACAATAAACTTATTTTTCATTTTTATTGATTAGTTCATTTTTTTCTGGACAGATTGCGCCACTGTTGTATTTTTGACATATATATTTCCTACTTTTCTGGTGGATTTTTCTAAACAAAAGTGGTACTATGACCTCCAGCAGACTGTCAAGTATAACAGTAAAAAATTTCAGCCAAATCGGTTCAGTTGTTTTCTCGGTTAGCGAGGTCCAAGAAAACCCTTACCATTTTATATAATAGTATAGATGTATAATTATGTATACATGTATAATAATTGAAGGGTTACAGGGAAAAACGATCATAGTCAAAAGAAAGAAAAAAATCAAATAATTATAGTACCTTTTGGTTAGTTTCATAACGAATCGACACGTAAATCGAGTTATGATAAAGATCACGGTCAATGATATAATACAGGATTAAAATATATTACCATAACAGGAAAAAAAACCAGAGTCCCTCTTTAAAACTGCAATACTCAACATTTTATTAATATTGACTATTATCGTTTTTCCCGTTACCTTTCTATAATTGGATATGAGTGTGGCAATGTGAGTATGAGTGTGTGACATATATGCCGGTTTCTTGTTACAAGTTATATATATATTAATATTAATATATACAGGGTGAATACCGTAGAAAGAGACATGACAGATGAAATAACCTTTTTTCTATTCAATATTTTCAAATGTTTTTTATATTTAATTTATAGTCACTTGCGCTATACGTATATTATACGCTATAGTATATTATAATAATACAAAAAAAAATATTTTTATTTTTTAATACCTACTGAAAATAAAAAATAAAAAGGTTGGTAAGTGGATGTCGCTCTGCTGTACAGTAGGCTACAAGTGGGTCACTGTTAATTGGATTGTATTAAATTTGAATCCAATGATATAAATATAAAATATTGTATACGAAAAACAATTCTGAGTTGTCACGGTTTGTCAAATTTTACTACAAAATCATTTTAGATTCTGAGCGGAGCGATTAATCTATAGGTATACTTTACAATAATGTGTTTTTATTTTAATTTTTTATTTTTGTGTCTGTCACCACCGTTTGGGGCAGTAAAACTGCTTCGATTTTTTTCAACAGTATCTTCTTCGATGGAAAAGTGAATCTAGTAAGTGCTTCAGGAGGTCAAATTTTAAAATTCTCAATAGTTTCAAAAGCATAAAAAAAAACAACATAAAAACTAAGAAAAAACGGGAATTTTTACTCAAAAATCGGTTATCGACAAAATCGAATTTGGTTTTTGTTGTAACTCTAAAACAAATTTAATTGAATAATGTTTTATTGACATTTATAAAAAAAAAATAGTAATAAAATTGTGAACTGAAATTGTTCCTAAACAGTTCCAAACAAATCAAAATATTTTGAGAATTTTATCGTGTAGGTATAGAAAAAGCAAATATAAACAAGCAGTGAAAAATTCCATGTGTATAATTTTCACCGGTTGTTTATTTTCGCATTTTCTATACACCATGACTTTTTTAAAATATTTTGACTTATTTTGATCTGTTTAGGGACATTTTATGTTTCCAATTTTTTTAGTTTTTTTTTCTATAAATATCAATAAAATTTTATTTGTTGGTTAAAAAAGCTAAAAAAGTTGGGTAATACAAGGCTCTTACTATATTGTTACAATGACAATGACCTTTGAAAAATTTTGAAATCCTTAGTCACAGTTTTTTTTTTATAAGCATTTACTAGTTCAAATCTTGACAAAATACTGAAAAATCACAAAAATTAGCAAATATTTTGAGTTGAGGATTCACAAACATTTTTCTTTTTAAATCTAAGATTTTAAAATGTTATACAAGATTCCTCATAAGTTTGTCTACATTTATCAGAAAAAAATTTCTAGAAGAAAGTAAAAATTAAATTTTTATGAGTGTTTGAAATTCAAATTTTTACAACATTGGATATTCACTCGATTTCTCATGTAGCGATTTTTTATTTTGTTGTAATTCAAAAACAATAACTGTAGATACATGAAAATTTTACTGAATGTTTATTTTATCAATTCTTATAGTTGATAAAATTTTCAAAATATTTTGATTTGTTCAAAAGAAACCATCTACATATCAATCTTAATATGCCCAGAAATTTTTATCGAAATTGGTTTGGTAGATCTTGAGTTATAAAATGTATTCAAAATGTACACTTATTTATATTATATATATAGATTTAAACAATGTATTACTATTATAGTTTTTTTTTATTATTATTTAAAAATGCTTTTTTTATATAAACTAAACGACAATAGACACCCTTCGCTCAGAATTTTTTATTTATATCGTTTATTTATTTTATAAAATTTAGTTCAAATTTAACAAATCAATTACAGTGACCCACATAGCACACCTATAATATACAGCACGCTACATCAGAATGGAGCCCTGCACTTGCCCATCTTTTTATAGTTCGATTTACAAATGTAATAGGTAAAAGTGTCAAGGTCCTCGTAAGTATTTCATACTTTAGCAAATTTTGTGTACCTACCTATAGAATATAGCGTACTTAAATTAAAAATGATCGTAACTCATTTAAAAACTGAATTATCGTAAAAAACCTACATACAAACACAGATAATTTTTTTATCATTAAGTTACATAATAGGTCGATTCACTTTAATTTAAACGATACTAAACGTGATCTGCTAAGGCGTAGATAAACTTAATACATAAAACTAAAGTATGTAAACTTGTAATACGGAGACAACAAATGCATGTGTTACGTATTTGTGTCCCCTTAGAAGTCTTAAATGCAATCTTTCCGTCAAAATACAGTTAGGTATACCTAATAGTAAAATAAACTACTTTAATAGTTACAATATGAATATAATAAATATATCATAAAATATATACGTTTTAAACTATAATAAGTATACAATAAATATAGACTGACTGACCGCCGTCTTCGATAAGAACGTTTTCGCGTGCAATGATCTATCATTAAATTCAAACATAAAACATAAATACATTGCATCGATTCAAGCAAGAAAGCGGTTACCTTCTTTCCCCGTTTATGTTTTTAAATATGATAGTCGAAAATCTGTAACATTAAAAATAATAAGCAGCTACATTTGTCAT